GGTCCATTCACAGGTGGCACCAAGCCTATCCTTTCCTACGAGAGGCAAGCCTGAGCCCACTGTCCTTCTATATTCACTGATTGTAAATGCATGAGGTCTGAGCTTAAACACTGGCACCAGGGAAAAAAGGAAACTTGTGTCTTGTTTATTATTTGGAAGATATATCTTATGTTTTGGGGGTCAAGCCTAGTGGCCTCAGGGGCTACTCCTGGCTATGTGCACAAGGGATCACTCCTGGCACAGCTTGAGGGACCATTTGTGGGGTGGGGATTGAACCAGGGTTTGCCATTTGTAAGGCAAGAAACTTCACCTCTGTGCTATCTTTTCAGCCCCTTTAAATATGGACTCTATGGAGATAGTTAAGAGAGGAATGGCATGATCATCAGGGAAGCGCAGATCAAAACAACAAGATGTTATCTCACGCCACAGACACTGGCACACTGTAGGATAACATTGGTTTGTCCTTTCTCCTTGGCTACAGGGAGCTTATGTTTATCGGGTTACACCTGTCACAATGCTCCCAAGACACTCCCATTTCTTTGTTTATCTCGTAACCTCTTTCTTTGTGCTCTGCTTTCCCAATCATCAATCACCTGTATTCCCTAATCAGACTGTTAACTTTTTTTTTCTTTTTGGGTCACACCTGGCGATGCACAGGGGTTACTCCTGGCTCTGCACTCAGGAATTACCCCTGGCAGTGCTCAAAGGACCGTATGGGATGCTGGGAATCAAACCTGGGTCGGCCGCGTGCAAGGCAAATGCCCTACCCGCTGTGCTATTTCTCCAGCCCCAGACTGTTAACTTTTAAGGTCAGATCCTTCTAGGGACACTGGACTTGTGTCCTTTCACATATAAGTGAAATATTGCCTTTCTCTTCTTCTTATGTCCTTTTGCTTCAGAACAATGCCCTTTTTGTATAGACACAGGAAGATAGTGCTATGTTTTTGTAACTTGGGAGTTAATTGATTCCAAATAATATTCACTCCCGGGCATCTGTCATATTTACTTGACTTAAGCCTCAGTTGCCCTTAGTTCCTAGCACTCCAAAAGCAGGGTTCCAAAGAGAGACTAGATTGACCCAGGGCAAGTTGTGAGCTACCCTGGCATCAAAATGGGCCTGGCCAAAGCTCCATAATACTTAACTATAAGTTAAGAGCATGATTATGGACAAATTCTGTCATGATCCAAAAAGTAACAACTAGATTAGGACCCTGCTAGGGTTAGGAAAGACTAATCTGGCCTGAGCACTGTAGTCTGAGATTATAACGAGATGCTCCCCAGGAAAGCCATCCTATAAGCTTAATGTATCTCTTACTGTATCCATACAAAATAACTAATATTATTAAGGAGTAGAATTAAGATGAATGTTTATATGTTTGTTGGACTAAGGAAAGGAGAAACACACCCATAGATGGTATTTTTCCCTTGAGTGGGTCCTCTTGCTGAATGAGAGTTTATCCTAGAAGAATCTCCCCCTGAGGGAAGGACTTTACCTCTGTTGATTGAATGATAACACCTATGTGTAATTGTAACTGCAACCCCTCTTTATTTGGGATATAACTAAGGCTGTAAGAGTGGACTGGGGTTCCATAAGGAGGATGGAGAAGAATAAAGGAGGAGGATTGGGGGAGAGGAATGAAGGAGGATGGGAGGAAGAGAAAGAGGAATGGAGACGATATTGGAATAAACTGCAACTGACACCAGCCAGCCTGGCCCTCATTTTCTTCTTCCTTTGCCCATTGCCATTGGCTGCCCCAGGGTGGGCAAAGCAGTGTGAGACCTCTGAACACAGGTGGTGAGAGCGCTGCGGCTTTCAAATTTATTTTTTTGAATATGCAGCACACATCACAAAGAACAAGAATAACCAGTGCTGGCATGGATGTGGGGAGAAAGGGACTCTCATTCATTGTTGGTGGGAATGCCCACGTTCCTCAAAAAGCTAGAAACTTAGTTTCTGTATAACCCAGAAATACTATTCCTGAGAATATACCCTAAGGGCCCCAAAACACATCGCACACCTATGTTCATTGTAGCACTACTCACATAGTCAAAATCTGGAAACAACCTGAGTGCCCCAGAACAGGCAACTGGATAAAGAAGTCATTCATGGTCCATCTATACAATGGGACACTATGCAGCCGCTAGTATGAAGTTTGCTGATACATGGGTGGACATGAAGAGTATCATGCTGAGTGAGATGAGTCAGAGGGAGAGGGACAGATATAGAACGATGGCACTCATTTGCTAGACATTTAAAAAACAACAACAATGTTCGCATGAAACTACTACCCAAGGATAGGAGAAACGAGGGCTGGGAAGACAGGTCCATGGTAGGAAGCTTGCCACAAGTGGGAGAGTGGGGACAGAAAAGGGACCACTATGACAATGATTTATTTCCAACAAATGAACGTTAGGGACAAGAATGGAGCGCTTAGAGGAGATCTACATGATCATCTTTCAATAACAGTCGTTTAGGCACTGTGGTTTTCCTTTTAGGCAAATCACAGTCCCTAAAAGGAAAAACAGAGAGGTAGAGAGGAGAAAAAGAAAGAGGAGGTGGAGGAGGAAGCCTGTTATGGAGGTGACTGACTTGGGACATTGGGGATGAGAAACACATTGGTGAAGGGATGGGTGTTGGAACATCATATGACTAGATGTATTAGATATGCCAAACACAGTAACAAATGTCACAGTGGAGATGTTACTGGGCCCGCGAGCAAATCGATGAACAATGGGAGGACAATGACAGTGACAGTTTTGTTTTGGGACCACACCTGGTTGTGCCCAGGGCTTACTCCTGGCTCTAAGGTCAGAGATCACTCCTGGAAAGGCTGGCGGGACCTGATGTGGTGCCAGAGATCAAACCTGGGTCGGCCATGTGCAAAGCAAGCACCTTACTCACTATTATATAGTATTATCTCTGTAGTCTCAGGAGAAATTATATCTAGGTGGTTAGATCATAAAAAAATTCATAAAGAATATATAACCAGGGCTGGAGCAGTGGGTAGGGTGTTTGCCTTGCATGCAGCTGACCCAGGTTCAATCCCCGGCATCACATCTGATCGTCCAAGCTTGCCAGGAGTGATTCCTGAGCACAGGATAAAGAGTAGCCCCCAACAAACAAACTATATATATATATATATATATATACATATATATATATGTCAACAACCATGAATATGGCCTCCATTGTTTATGATCGGTATTTTAATTATAAAAAGGATATTGTAAAGGAAAAAAGAAAAGAAAACAGGAAATACAAAAAAAAAGGTTTACGAAAAATTTCTAAAGTGCAGTTTTTATTCCACATAAGTTGGGACCCTTTGTGGCTTCTCAGCCTAAAGCCATCAGTATCAATACTGTGGTTTTGCAAATCAGAGTTTCCCTACTCTGTCCTATAAGGGCTGGACTGATAACACAGCAGGTAGGGTGTTTGCCTTGCACATGGCCAACCTGGCTGACCCGGGTTCGATTCCTTCGCTCCTCTCGGAGACCCCGGCAAGCTACCGAGAGTATCTCGCCAGCACGGCAAAGCCTGGCAAGTTCCCCGTGACATATTCGATATGCCAAACACAGTAAAAAGTGTCACAATGGAGACGTTACTGAGCCCGCTCAAGCAAATTGATGAACAACGGGAGGACAATGAGAGTCTTATAAGGGAAAGTGCTGGCATGAGGCAGACAGCCCCAGTCTCCTCCCAAGCACCACAGCTCAGTGCCTGAAGGCCGTCTCTGATGTGATGCTGGCTCCTGGGTGGGAGAGAGGAGTCAGTGTCTAGGCACCCAGCTCCGCAGCAGGGAAACACGTCCTCTTCCAGATCTTTCTTTACCCAACTGCTCCATGCTAACCCGGGCTCTGTGCTCAGGGGACACTCCTGGTGGGTTTGTGGGATCCTCCGTGATGCCGGGAATCGAACCCGGTTAGCTGTGCCCAAGGCAACCTTGTATTATCTCTCTGGCATGTTCCTGACCTCATTTAAAAGTCAGGAGTCAAAAGATCTGAGGGTCTCTGCCTCCAGGAACAAGTTTCCTCAGGGAAAAGTGGGCACTGCAGGGGGGGCCTGTGACAAGCCAGGGCTGCATATGGGACAGGGCGTGGGTGCTGTGTGCAGCCGGCTCGGAGCACAGGCGGCCTGGCTTTCCCGGGAGGAACCAAGTCTTCGGTGTGAGCTGGCGTTCCCCGCTGCTCTCTGCCTCGAACCCGGGGCAGGGCCCTGCAGGCCACCCGACGCCTCTCACGCACGCTGCCCGCTTCCCTCTGCAGGCCTCGCGGCGGCCCGGGCCCGTCCTCCCGGCCAAAGGCGCAGAGCGAGCTGTTCCTGCGGCGGAGCAGGCGGAGGGGCGGCGCGGCCCCCGACCCTGGCTCTCGGGGAGGGCGGGAGACCTCGGCGCTCGGGCCGAGTCGCCACGGTGCCCACCCACAACTCGGACTCCGGGCAACGTCCCAGGACTGGAGCGCCTACTCTCGACCGCTTCCACGAGGGCCTGCCGGCCCCCAGCCCTCCCACGGAACCTCTCAGCCTCGACTCCAGTCCCCGACCCCCGCCCGCTCCAGTCCCGCCCCCAGACCGCTCCGGGCTGCGATCCAACCCCGCCCTCCAGCTTGCCCCGCCCCTCCCGGAGGCTTGCCCCGCCCCTTCCAGTTACTCGCCCCGCCCTTCCCGGAGACTCGCCCCGCCCCTCTCGGAGGCTAGCCCCGCCCCTCCCGGAGGCTCGCCCATTCCCCAGGAGACTCGCCCCTACCCCCGGAGACTCGCCCCGCCCCTCCCGGAGGTTCGCCCCGCCCCTCCTCCAGCCTGGTCCGGGCTCCGATCGAGCCCCGCCCAATCGGAGGCGCGCCCCGCCCCCACGCGGCCCCCACTCCGCCCAGCGAGGATAGCCCCGCCCCGCAACAAACCCCTTCTGGCCACACGCCCCTCGCCCCGCCCCCCGAGCGCGCAGGCGCGGCCCGCAGTCTCCGCGGCGGGGCGGCTGCAGCATCCTCGGCGTGGTGGTCCCGCGTTCCTGCTCGTCGTCCCTCTCGCCGGTGCGATGGCCCAGCCGCAGACGGACAGCGAGAAGCGGAAGCAGATCAGCGTGCGCGGCCTGGCGGGGCTGGGGGACGTGGGCGAGGTGCGGAAGAGCTTCAACCGGCACCTGCACTTCACACTGGTCAAGGACCGCAACGTGGCCACGCCCCGCGACTACTACCTGGCGCTGGCACACACGGTGCGCGACCACCTGGTGGGCCGCTGGATCCGCACGCAGCAGCACTACTACGAATGCGACCCCAAGGTGACGAGCCCGGAGGGGCGCCCGGCGTCCCCGCGCCTCCTCCCAGGGCCCCCCGCGCCCCCTCCCTGGGCACCCCGCACCCCCACCCGTTCTCCTTCTCCTGACGCAGGGGGCGGGGACCCGGGGCTGGGCGGTGGGAGGGGGCGCCTGGACAGCCGCAGGGGACCGCAGGCCTTTTTCCTTCTTGGCTAGGCAGAGATGAAGAAAATTTTCTTTGCCAGTGCGCGGGGGTCACAGGCTGAGAAGTTTCTGCATTGGAGGTTCTCACGGTTTCCCAGAACTTATCTTAAAAATTCGGGAAAGTTGTTTAAGTAATCGTGCCTTTCTTTATGTTGCAAATATTTATGTGGGGGGCGGGGCATTGAATAATATAAAACGGAAAAGAAAAGTCACCGGCCATCTCCATGACTTTTATGGGATTTTTTTTTTTTTTGCTTTTTTTTGGGCCACACCCTGCAGTGCTCAGGGATTACTCCTGGCTTGCACTCAGGAGTTACTCCTAGCAGGCTGGGAAACCATATAGGGTACCAGGGATCAAACCCCAGTTGGCTGCGTGCAAGGCAAACGCCCTACTCGCTGTACTATCTCTTCAGCCTTTGAAATATAGCTGCCTGTCTTTTTGTAGCTTTTCCTATTCCTAGGTGCATATGCTCTAACAAAGTACGTTGCATGTACGCTTTGGTGTTCTTTCTGCTTTGTTCATGGATGCTTGTCACTTTTCAACAGCTTTCCAAGTCAGCACATGTGCTTGTCCAGTATCATTGGTAGTTTTCAGTTTGATAGACTTATCATAGGCTTGGCCAGGTCCTTGCTGCTTTTTGTTTGGGGATATTTTTTACCTTTTGTTGCTTTGGCGCCCCGCCCAGCTGCCCTCAGGGCTTATTCCTGCCTCTGCACTTTAGGATGGCTCCTGGTAGGTCTGGGGACCCAACTGGGGTGGGGGGAATCCAACTCGTGGTGTTATGTGTACCAAGCTAGCAGCCTACCCACTGCATTCTCTCTCGCCCTACTTTTGAACTCCTGACCGTCGAAGAATTTTGCTTTTCCTACAATACTGAGGTTGGGTGAATACTGTCAAGAAAGGGGCACATTTGCTTTCCTAAAGCCACTTTGCATGCACTTATTTTGTTATAGCATTGCATGTGTAGTATTTTCATGGGACCCTTAAAAAATGCTTAGTAATTGCTGGGTCAAAAATATAGTACAGCTGATAGAGTGCTTGCCTTAAAGTGGCAAGCCTGGGTTCAGTCCTACCACAAAGTATGACCTTCGAAGTCCTGCCAGGAATGACCATGGCAGAGCTAGAAGTAACTCCAACTCCTGAGCACAGTTAGATGTGACCCAACCCTCCAGCCACCCCCCACCATGCCCCACTCAATTGCTTTAGCATTTGTTTTTCTTTCCAAACTTATTTTGTGGCTTTTTTTCCCCCTAAAACAGAGACAGTGAAAGGACAGACGGGTTAGAATGTCAGCTGGGCCTCACCTTGTTAGTGTGAGAGACTTCGCCGAGAGTGGTGGCTCCGCAGGCTGTACCAGGAAGACCTGGGTGGCTTTGCCCAGGAAGCTGGCCCGAGGGAGCGGCTCCCCTCAGGATTCTCTGAGTGGCAGGGCAACATCATTTTTGTCAACTGATTAGCAGATGACAAGGGTCTGACTTTGACTGCTTGTTCAAGGGCATTTCCGTGGCAGAGGGCCAGGGCGAGCTCAGACCTAGAGAGGCCAGTGATGGGCTCAGTGGCTCTGGAGATGACATTTCCAGGACAGAACTAATCTCCCTAACAAAACAGGTTTGCTGAGCCTCTGTTGGAGTGTCTACCGTGGAGGCCACAGACAGGCCTTTCTGTTAAACCACACGGTCTGCCTCTGGAGATTTGCCAACTTTGGACAGGAAGGCTTTTGACCATGGATACTGGTTGTTGGCATTTAAATATGTCAATCTAATTTGCATTGCAAATGAGCCCATAATCTTATTTGCATTTTCGGGGAAAAGTGTTTTAAATTTTGTTTTTTTGGGCCACATCAGACTGTACTTGGAGCTTACTCCTGCTCAGGCCTGATTCCTGGCATGGCTCAGGGCACCATATATGGGGATCATGTGCCAGGCAAGCGCCTGACCTGTTACACTTACACTCTGGCCCTTATCATCTCATTTTCTTGCAAAATTACCTGTAGTGGACCAGAAATGTGTACCAGAGTGTCAGAGCTTGAGGGAAAGGGTTTCCAAATAAGAATCCTAGAGAGACCCCAGCAGCTTTGAGCCTCAGGCCTTTCTGCTGGACTGGTGGCCTGGTTGGCTGAGAGTTGCTAATAGGGCTTCTCCAACCCCCCCCCCCCCCCCCCCCCAATCCTACAGAGGAGCAGCCTCAGCCTGGGCATATTCAGGGACTTGGAACCTGCCCATGTGTATGTAATAACCAAGAGGGCTATTATATTCCTTTTTTGGTCTTTAAGCAGTTACATTAATTATTGGCATAAAAATTAAAATTCAGGTAAGGGGATGGAGTGGCAGGCACTTGTCTTACACATTCCCTGGTTCAGTCGCTGGCACCGCATGGCATCTGACCTAAGAAGAGCCAGAAGTAAGCTCTGAGCACCTCCAGATATGCCCCCAAACCAAAATCCTAGAATAAATAAACAGCAGTAAGCAAAACAAAACCCAAGAAAAACCCAGCATTACCTGTAATCCTTGAGCTTGTTTGGAGGTTCTAGCAGGGGAGCGCAGCTACTCGTATACCCTCCACCGAAGACCGGTCTGTCTCTATCGGGGAAGGCCGTCCTCTTCGACCGAGCGCGCAGCTTCGGGAGGGACGCACATGGAGCGGTGAGGGAGGAAGGGGACACCCGCCTAGCCAGCCAGATCAGCCGAATCAACCCTGGCGATCAGTGGGGTGACAGATGTCGCAGCCAGATCGCCCGATAGCACAGCGGTAGGGCGTTCGCCTTACAAGCGGCCAACATGGCCGACCCGAGTTCGATTCCTCCGCCCCTCTCGGAGAGCCCGGCAAGCTACGGAGAGTATTCGATATGCCAGACACAGTAACAACAAAGTCTCCAATGGAGACGTTACTGGGCCCGCTCGAGCAAATCGACGATCAACGGGAGGGCCTTTACCTTTACCTTACCTTACCTGTAATCCTACCACCTGGTGATAATCCTTGAAACACTATACATGCTGTTGTTTGACATCTTTTTCCCTCTAAGTGGATAGGAACATTTCTTGTTACTACTGGAATGCTGCCTTGTACAAGTCAGCACTTTTCTTTTCTTCTTTTTTCCCCCAATTCCTGTGACCACTGAAATTGGCATGCTTGGAAGAAGAGTTTTCCAAGTGAGCCGTCTGGCAGATCTGCACATTAGGGTGTCTGGCTGAAATGAATGTGGCCACCCTCAGCATGTTCTGAAGTCAGTGGGAATGTCCCTGGCAGGGTGTGCAGGGGTGGGAGTGGCCGATGCAGCTCGAGCCTGGCTTCTCTCCAACCCGGGAAGTAGGAGAAGTGCCTGGCGAGGGTTCTTGGCCTGGGAGGCCACTCTAAGGATGGGGGAGGGGGTCACCCAACATCCTGTACTGCCCAGAGTGACGTCTGCTGGGACGGGGAGACCATGCACAGTGCTGGGGGCCAAACTCTGCTTGACTGTGGCCATGGCCAGTGCCTCAGCTCCTGTGCTTGCTCCCTGCCCGCATGAAGGTTGCTCCTCAGCACCATATGGTCCCCAGAGCACTGCTGGGTGCAGTCCAAAACTTAAACCAAAACAAAAACCCACACAACCAAGCTGTCCGGGCTCCTTCGGTCTTGGCTGCCCCAACTCAGCGGATTTTGTACCCATTCTTAGCCTCAGTTTTATCCCGGAGGGGAAGCTGACCAAGGCATGTCTTTCTGAGGGCCCTTGCCTTTCTGGAACATTATAGTTGTATGTTAGCCTATCAATGATTGACATTTGATCTTACCCAAAAAAAGAATCTGAGAGTGTTTAAACAAGGTAGGATACAAAGATCCCAATTAGTAGGAGACTTCAGAGAGAAAGCAGGCCCGAGACACTAAAGACTGGGCAGATCAGGCACAAGGCCAGGGCACAAGGTGCTGGTGGAAACCCCGGTCAGTCCACGCCAACGGCAGACCATGCCCAGTCTTGGAAATCACAGAATGCCTGCAGGAGCTTCTGGGATGGGTCAGTGTGAGACACCCGTGGGTCTGTAACATAGCGCATGGTGCAAGCAGCTGGCTTCTGTGTTCCCGCCAAGGTAGAATGGATATGACTTACTGGGACCTACTCTGTCCTCACACTGATTCCTTTTTTTTGTTTTTTAATTCAGAACGTTAATTTTATTTTATTATTTATTATTATTATTAAATAGTATGATATTACAAAAAATACTTTGTAACTGTGAGATACAGTTACAAAGCTTTCCTGTTTGAGTTTCAGTCATACAATGATCGCTCACCCAACCCTCCACCAGTGTACACCTTCCACCACCAAGGTCCCCAGTATCCCCCCATCCCACCCCTCCCCTGCCTCTGGGGCAGACAGTCTCCCCTATACTCTCTTTTGTATTGCTTGTTATGAATAGTAAAGATGTTGCGTGGACACAAAAGTGACTGCAAGCTCCTGGAATTCTAAAATTTTAGATAATTAGGGTCTGGAGAAATCTCTGCAGTGAGCTGCTCCGTTTGGAGATTCCTTTGTGTGTCTTTGGATCATGCCTGTTAAGGAGTATAAGTAGCAGCCAGAGGCAGTTTGTGGGTCCCATGGGGATGGGGAGGGATGGCCTATCCAGTATCCCTTGAGGCTTGGAGTTTATGGTCACTGAACCGGGGTACCTGCATTTCTCATTGGATTCTGGTAGTTGGTGGCCACCGGGGTCTTAGGGGGCAGGTGGAGGAACGACGCCAGCCCTTTCCTGAGGCATCCTGTGAAGTTGGCCTGGCTTAAAGTCCGGAGGTGTCTTTGCACTTAGCTGCTCGGTTCAGAGATTCTTTTGTGTGTCTCTGGATCCATCTT